GTGGAGGACAAAGAGACACCGCAAGGGGTACATTGAGCCCCGTCGGACGAGTACAGGCAGTCCCCGATGTCGCCAGTAGCGGAGCGCCAACGAGTAAGAAATAACCCCTCGTGAGGGGAACGCTTGACCTGGCTAATGGGTAAGAGGTACCCCTCCGACGGGAACACTTTGGACATCGACGTAATGCGGACAGTTGTCACCCTTGGCTTTTACAGTGCGCACCCCTGATAGGTTATCCGGTTGAGGCCCGGTGCCGGTCGGGCAACTTCCGCGGGAGTACCTGGTTAGTTACTCGGTTGAGGACCGGTGCAGGTCGGGCAACTCCCGGGGGGTGCCGGGTCCAGTAACCCGTATCAAAAAAAAGGTCGGCTTCTGCGATTTGAGAGGTTGCACTCTCTAAAAATCGTATTGGCCTTATAGCGACCCTGTGCAAAATTTAGGCGCAACCAGACAGCGCTTTCCCGGCCCGGATCACATTTAAAGTTGGGAACTCGAAATGGCCGCGGATGAGGCCACCATGCTGATCCCCAGCTGCACGCGACTAGCGCGCATAGGAACGACGGGCAAGGGTCAGGTGAGACCCTATGAACCCTACTTCTCACCAGCCGAGGCGAATCCAGTGTCAGATCAACCACGTCCTCTGCAGGGGCGTAAGTATCGTGACAGCCTATGTCACGTTCAACTCATCAGCTTTGTGTTTTTCTGAATTATTTCTTTGGAAAGTAGGGCTTTACCATGCCCAGACCAAAACCGCTCTGAACACCAGGTAGCGCCAGCGCTCCGATAGGATTTTTTGAAAAAAAGGGTGTTTTCACCTGTGGCGATGTCAGTTAGGCCACATTACACGCCTGTATAGTTTTTGGCCTGGCTGACAGGCGTTTTCGAAATAATTTGGATTTTCACCACAATCGCGTCAGCGCTAACCGGCGTTTTTAACTATTTTACTCTTAGTATGGGGCACCCCTGATGTCCGGTAAATAAAAACATTCGAAACTGCCAATTTGTTCCGTCAAAAGTAACGTGGGCTATCGCTACACTTACGCCCCTGTAGAGGACGCATTTGCTTTGACACTGGATCGAGGGGTACCTCACTCTTCAAAATGATGTACAGCGATTTAAATCACATTTGATTGTAAATGACTGTAGGTGATATTGTAAATGATTCAGGATGATTTAAATTATTGTAAAGATTCTACATGATTGAAGTGATTGTGATGATTGGTGATGATTGTTGGTGATTGTCGGTGGCTAAATCATGATTGTGTGTGATTTTTAGTGGTTCGAGAGAGATTCAAGGAAGATTTGAATGATTTAAGAATGATTGTGGTCAATTGACGTTGATTTAAAACGATTTATATGAGATTGTAGGACGCCGGATAAGAGATTCAGTCCTAGAAATTACTACTGGGGATAGAGATATTTGGGGTGTCGGATAATCCACGATTCGATTGCGATGGTCTAAGAAGTGATTCTTGGTTATTGTAATGATTCAACGACGGATTGTGATGAGTTAATGAATGATTGTAGTTCATTGCTGCGATTTAATGCTGATTGTAGAGGGCTGTTCTTTTGATTCAACATTGATTTCAGGCAATTGTTACGATTTTCTGAGAAAAAGATTCTAATTGATTGTAGCGATTGTAAAGGATTGTTGTGATTCTTAGGGATTTAGGTTGCGATTGTTTGTGATTTAAATTAGATTTTTTTTAAAAGTGTACAGCGATTGTTCGAAGTAAGGTACCCCTCACACTGGATTCACCTCGGCAATTTAGAAGAAGGGTTCATAGGGTCTTGCCTGACCTGTGCCTTGTCGTTCCTGGGTGCACCAGCAGAGGGCAGCTGGGGGTCAGCATGGTGGTCTCTCCCGTGGCCGTTTCCAGTTCCTAACTTCAAGTGCGATCCGGGCCGGGAAAGCGTTGTCTGGTGGCGCGCAGATTTTGCACAGTGTCTTCACAAGTTCCGTACGATTTTCGGAGGGTGCAGCCTCGATGACCTTTTTTTTTTTTATGCGGACTAAGGTCCAGCGCGATGTTCTCGGCCCAGCCATGCCACCCTAGCCCAGGGGCTCTAGATACAAAGGGTTGCCCCTTTGCATATGTGTCCGGGGGAGGTACGAGTAATTACCCGGTCAGAACCCGGGGGAACCTTCCCCGGGTGCTCCCCGGGAAATTCATTTGTACGTTCCCCGTTCCCCGGATTCACATGTCTCAGCGGCCCGAAATGCGCCCAGCTGGTGCTAAAGTCGCTCGTGGTGTGGTGGCCAAAGCAGCGCGGGTACCCTTTGAATGTGGAGCCGCTGCCCTGGGGCTGGCCCGAGAACATCTCGCTGGACCTGGCACCCCCCAGGAGTTGCCCGACCTGCACCGGTCCTCAACAGAGTATCCATCCATGTACTCTCGCCTACTTATTGTACTGGCATTGGCTGATGCACCTTCTAGGGTTTATTACTTCAAGAAAGGAAACAAGCAGGCCCGCCCTTCCGCCAAACGGAGTTGCCAGCTCCGCTTCGCTGCGCCGGCAACTCCGTTCGGCAGGGGCCGGGCCTGCTTGGCCTGCCGGCGGCGACGCTCAGGCCT